ACTCATGGTCATTATATTCGGATTAAAGTGGAAAATTCATATAAACATAAAACAAGTGAACAAGAATTTGCTCAACGAGTCAGAAATCATGTCGTAATATAATTTAAATGATTACGTATCTTGACCCAAATAAAGCGATTGCGTTTTTTTGAAATAAAAAAATATAATTACTGGTTTGACCATTACGTCATATGAATTTGTTTGGATATTAATTTTTAGTAGTATAAGAAAGAGAAAATGTAGTTTTCAAGTACAAACTAATCTAATTTTGTAAACAAAAAAAAAAGCAAAAAGGAACTAAAGCCGAATTAAAATGCAAGAAAGAATAAAAAGAAAAATAGTAAAAACCCTAGGGTGTGGCAGGGTAAATAGTAAATAGTCTTTTCATCCCTCTTTTGGCGGGAAAATTCCCCAGAATTTCTCTATTTTGACACTCCCAACTCACACGAAAACCCATTCATCTTCTCTTCGTCCYCTCTCTCTCTCTCTAAGAAAATGGTAACGCTCCGTCGAAGGACAACGGTTGTGACCGGAGAACCCAAGCCGGTTGTGGAAGAAAAAAAAGCCGAGCCGGTGGTGGAAGAAAAAGGACTGTGCGGCGACGAGGTGATGATTCTGTCAGACGATTCGTCCTCCGAGTGGGACGAACAATCCTCCGAATCGGCGGTGAAGGATTTGCGTGGACGCTGGGAACTTGCTTCTGTTCTCAATTTCTTGAATGTTTGAACCTCTTTCTCTTTATGATTCGATTTCACTTTTCAGGCGAACCATCATGTTTTCTATTTATTCTAGGGATTTTGCTGCACTTAACATTTCTGACATTGGTCATGTGGTTGATTCCTTGCTCTGGGATGCTTCGTTAAAGAGAGATTTTTGTTATTGTGTGACAGGTATTTGGACCACTTGTCTCGGAGAAATTGAAGTTAACAGCTGAGGAGATTGAAATGGGTCTTATCGAATGCAACGCTACAAATGCTAAGCTTCACACTGCACTTTTGAAGGTTTTTTTGATTTTATGAGCTTACTTTCGTCAAGTGGGTTTATTGCCTATAAGAAAAAACCTTTTTGGAACTGAGCCCATTTTACAGGGGATACTACCGGTAAACAAATCGCTTGACGATGGAGGAGATGCTTGGATAACGGTCTTGTGTAAGAAACTCGCTCCATGGTGGCCATGGGTAAGGTCACACTGAACCTTTTTTTGTAGCTTATATCATCTTTTGAAGCAGATTATGGTCGATTACTCATTGACTCCTGTAATGCCATTATTGCAGATTGCTACGGGTGAAATTCCTATAACTGCTGCTAGCAAAGGGTAATGGTGAAATGGTTTCAATTTTTTTATAAACTATGGATTTGTATATTGATGATAAATTTCTTCTCTTTTGCTGTATGGGTTTAGGGAGCAAATATCTGAATACAAAGGACTTGACCCTATTACTCGACTCAAGTTTCTTAAGGCACTTTGTGAGCTTCGAGTCCAAGTAAATTCCTCTTGTCATTTACTTGTTCAAGTCTATTATCAATGCATTGCCACTTTGGTTGCATATCTAAACAAGATCATTACTAGTTGCATTTGTTACATTTTCTGTTTATCGTCTTATTTCCATTGGGTTGGTGTTATAGCAAGATGGTGCTCGTAAGTATATTCAAGAAAATGCCAATGAAGGAGCCTGTGATTCCCGTTTCTGCAAAAGGAAGTTAGGAGGAGATGGAAAGAAGACTTCTTACTGGTAGTTATAAGTTCCTGTTACTTCTTTCTATATTTGACATTAGGTGTGATTAACTTTCAGTTTTGTTTTTCACTCTAGGTTTGATGGTAATGACATCCAGGGGTATAGATTATATAGGGAAGTCAATGAAGTCTCAAAGAGTGCTAAATCAAGGAAGAATGCGTGCTCAGATATATCTTGTTTCTGCTGGGAAACTGAAGCAACCAATCTCGATGAATTTCAAAGAGTCGCTGTAAGATTTTGATTTCTGTTTGTGCTTCTACTCTTTAAGATGTATGGAATTGTTTCAGTAACCATATGCTATAATGGCAGAGAGAGTTATCATCGAGCAAAGCTTCTTCTTTGGCTGCTGTCGGTAAGATGATTGAGACAGATGCTATACCCATTGTTGAGAAATATCATAAAGTAAGTAAATTTTTCTACAGTTGGCTACATTTCTTAAATCCATTCTCTTATGATTATGCAAATTTGCTATATCTTGTCTGTTTTTGACTGTGTTTTCGTTCCCTTGGCAATAACAGAAGAAAGAAAGGGAAATCAAAAAGAAATTGAAGAAAGAGATGGTCGTTAGTGTCAATTTTACCCGTCCTATCCGCACTACCCGTTCATGTCGTAACCGCGTGCCTGCTACTTACACCTTTGGTAAGGTTATCTTTTATTGCATTTCTTCTACTTGCTTGATATATGATTATGCTTTAGCGAGGCTTATTAGTCTGCATTTCTTATATGCAGACGAGTATGACAAAATGATCGATGATGCTGTGGAGGAAACAATGTAAGAGGTTTACTGCTTTGCTAAACATATCTTATCTATCCATCATTACTTGGCGCATATCACATGATACTTCCATTTGGGTAAATGAACTCTCAAAAAATAATCTGATGAACTAGACTTTAGCCACTGTTGATCTCACCTGTCTGTCTCTTTCATAGTAAGAGATGCAAGTGTTCCGAGTCGGTTTTATTCAAGACCTTTAGCATTTCTTCAGCAACATTTGATGCCTTAGACACGTTGAAGCATGGTTTGCAACGTCTTTTGATGCATTAAGAAACCCATCATTCACTTGTTTTTCATGATCAGGGAAACGGATCAAGATGATGAGGAAGGAAGGATGCATCAAAGTGGTTCCATGGGCTCAAACGATGGTTCTGAAGGCGACAACAAGATTAAGTTAACAGTTGACGAAGCACCACCTGAAAGCGACAATGACGATGGAAAAGAGAATGGGAAAAGCAAGGAAGATGTTGAGCCAAAGGGAGAGTTTATGAGTGAACTCCGCCCTATTCTAGTTTAAACGTCAATGTTGTTGAAGAAAATGGTTAAAAGCTTTTGAAAAACGCTACATCCTTTTTTGGTCTAGTTTGGATGTAGGTAGAGTGAACAAGCTTTTTGATTAGAGGGTTTAAGACATGGGAGAGATGTTTCCTTTTGTCTGTGTTATATATTATTATATGATGATGATCTACTCCATTCCTATCAATGTTGATCTTACTCTTAATTAGCATCGCCCATCTACAATTTCATGGTTAGTTATTTCAGGAAATATAGTCACTGAATTTGCTATATGTAATTTATTCATATTATTACTAGTACAGATGGTCATACTAAAAGGTCAGGGTGGCCGAGTGGTCTAAGGCGCCAGACTCAAGTTCTGGTCCTCGTGAGAGGGCGTGGGTTCAAATCCCACTTCTGACATTATTTTTTTTTATCCTTTTTTATCAATGTATTTTTCTAATCTGATCAACATCACGTCGTTCCTTGTTTTTGGGGTTTCCAAACACTCGGCCATTTACTAACATTCAGGCCCATAAACAAAATGTCTCACCGTTTTCCGCAAGACAGACGACACGCAGTCTTTTTTAAGTTAAACGTCTACAAAACTACTATCCAAACGAGAGTTGGTTAGTGTGTCCCCCCTATTCATAACACATTACACATGATGACATGAGAAGAGAGCTAAAGCTGGTTCAAGAACTAAAGCTGGTTCAAGAAGATACAGTGGCTTTCTGAGCCTGCGATATGATTCTGAGCTTCTCGTACGAATCAGCACAAGCGTGAGCGTAATCCGACAGTGCCCTGAAGATCTCAGGCAATCTTATCTTCAAACTGTTGAGTGATTTCTCCCTAACCTGAACACAATGTCTCTGGTGAGCTTCTTCTTCGTCTTCAAGCCTTTTCTTCAGTGTCTCCACAGCGATTCTCCTCTCCGAGACATGATCTCTACTCGTGTTTGTTGTTCCGTCTTCCCCGCCTTCAGCTTCCTCCGTCGGTCCTCTTTTCTGCAAGTGTTTCTGATACCATTCCTCGAAACCTTGTTTCTTCTTTATGAACTCTCTTCGTGTCTCTTCGCATTTCTCCTTCAGTTTCATCTCTTCTTCCTGATGAAGCAAGATTGTTTTGATGACTGCTGCGAAGGACGAGATAGCTGATTTGGCGACCTCATCGGGAAGTTTCTCAAGACGGTCGTGCCACGAGTGGAGAAGAGCTTGGATTGGTGGACGTTGAGGCCTAGGAGGAGAAGAAACCTTCTCCCTAAGACTGCTCTCGATAGGGATAAGGTTTAGCTTCAACCAGCTGTTGAGAGAGCTAATGTATTGCTTCTGGTGGGTCACGAGTCTATCGAACTGAACATGCCATTCTTCCAATACTGTGCAGAACTGCCGAGTCTGATGGTGATGTTGCTTAGTGGTTTCTTTGAGAGATGATGATATTTCGAGTGATTTTAGCTCTCCAACAATCTTTAGTTGAGTATCATGGTGTATGCACATGTTTGTCCACATCTTCGCCATTCTACAGATCTCACAAGTTGAGAAAATTGGTCAGAGAGGGGTAGCTTATGCTTCGCAGAGAATCATTTAAAGTTAGGAGAGAACTTACCCTTCAACTAGGGAGACAAGTCTTGGATACAATTGGTCATCCCTTAAACGGTTTACTTCTGAAACCGTGGAATCCATAGATTGCATGTCAACGATATATCTTGTGTGTAGATGACTCACAGCCGCCTTTGTTTTCTCCACGGTTTCTGCACTCGCACCTCGTTTTTTATGCCTGTTGAGTAAAGATACCTTTTTCTGATACTCTATCTTCATAAGCTCACCTTGCTAGAAACAAAAACACCACAACAAAATAAGGTATTCAATTAGAATTCCTTCACTTTTGGTAGAAATTTATCAGCTTAAGCTAAATTACCTTCACTTCATCATAGAGTTTCTTCTCCCATGCTAACAATTTGTCCAACACGGTCGCATGAGTTTCATGGTCTTCTGATTCTTGATCATCTTTTCCACCTTCACCATTGGAGATGCCTCTTAACGATTTATTCCAAGTTATAACCCGCATAACCCTCGCAGAATGATCAACATATCCTGCAAAGGAAAATTTGTCAGGAAAGCGCATTTTTCATCAGCAACAAAGCAACAATCGTCCAAGAAACAGGCAACATAATCAAATTTCCATCAGAAGTTGGCCTCAGAAGAAACTCTCATTGATAGAGACAGCAAAAGGTGGTTAAAGGGTTAATTGGTCAAATCCAGAACTTTGTTTAATGGCTTTAAACTGAAAAGAAACAATTAAGAAAACCACCAGATCCATTAATTTAAGGTACATCTTGGATTCTCACTAAAGGTAAACCATAGCCAAATATCAAAGTAAAGATACCAAAAAGTGAATCAGATACTCGTAGTTTAAGAATATTGCATACACTAAACCCTGATTCCATTTAGAAAAGAAAAACAATCTCTTTTGGTTTTCTTTTTTCTTGTTTCAATTAGAGAAAGAAAGAACCAAACTTTCTAACCAATGCAATCATGGACGCATCAAGAATCACCTAAAAAAAGCAGCAACCAAAGCATTTTTGGTTAAAGTCACGGGAATAATACATTGGAAGAAGCTTAACCAGAGACCATTACCACACTAAATCCATGTTTTGGCAGTGAGAATTTTGGGTAAGATTCACCGAATTGCAAGAAAAACACACATAAATGCTTCAATCACTAAGAGACTGAATCAGAGAGGAAGAAATCAAATTCAATACCTTGGTTATCTGCGAAATTGGAATGATAATGTAGCCTTGTAGCTTCCAGCATCTTGGAGACCTCTTGAGCACACTCTGACGCCTTAAGGAAACGATCATCAATCTCATCAAGAATCTTCATCAAATTCACGCTTGATGCAGTGGTCTTGACGGTCTTAGCAACCGCACGCCGGAAATCCGCCGGAGCAGTGCTGGAATGCTCAATCTTAGCTTTCCCT